CGTCTCCGGTTACTTTCGTAACCTCGGTTCCCTGAAAGCCAAGGAACAAGACATTAAACTTGCATTACACATTACACCATGTTCGCTATTATTTAGCATGTGTTTGATTCTGAGGAAAATTGATGCTGCATCTGCATTTATACTGTAATGGTGTTCACTATTTGCATATTGTGTCAATTGGCCAGCTCTCCTGGCGTTAACCTATAAGATTTCAGCAGAAGTAAAGAAGGGGAGGAGTTCCCATATACAGTACAACATCCGTAATGTCTCGTTCCTTGCCTTTCAGGGAACTGAGGTTACGAAAGTAACCAGAGACTTTTTCCCCATCTGCGTCAAAAACGTAATGAGATCAGAGTCCATTCTGCTTTTAGAGCTTGAGCATATTTAAAGCGGAAGATGACAAAATAAAAACCGTGGGCCTATCTGTAAGGATATTTAGGTGCACTGCATTCTCAATGTTATAATATTTTGTGTTAGAATTGAAGAAAATTTGTCATGAAATGGAGTCAGGAGGGGGGATAGTTTACCCAAAAATGAAATTTCTGTTATAAATTACTCACTTTTCATTTTTGTGTGAACTATCCCTTTAATGCATGCGGGCAAGCTGTTGTCTTCGTCACCTGAAGTGAGTTCATCATTGTTTTCCTGGGACTCCCTCACGTCAACGTGCACTCACTCAGGCTGTCCCAAACTTATATACTGAGAACACGGGGAGGGGGAAACTACTCACTGCCCTTCCTGGGATAGCAAGTTTTAAGGGAAAGGGAGGGAGGAGAGAGGGGATGGAATCCATCAGGGGATAGGGGCATTTTGTTACCTCCTACCCTGAAATAGCCTCCTGTGCATGCTCTTATGCATACATTGACAATGATACCCAGTAACACACTCTTGTGGATATATACATGTGCACATATAGGCGCACAGCGTACACACAAATCAGTTTTAAACCTCGCTTACAGTTTCTAGAAAGGAGTGCAATGTTGGCGTACGGTTTCTTATGCACCTGTAGATTTGTTCTTTCTCATACTTGCATATGCACATTCTCTGGTCAGTGCACGCAGTTCCGCATGCTCTTGCCAAAATTACACATCTAACACATTTATAAGGGGATTAGTTTTGAGGCATTAAAGAGGTGATTGACACTCAGTCTCTTCAGGTAGTTAAATAGGTATTCAGCAGCAGTCTGACTTTATGGGCTGTCATCACCTTCAAACGTTTTTTTTTTTCTAGGGCAGGCTTGTCTTACAAGGACAGAAGAACACTGTGCTGATATTAAGTTTAATATATATATATATATATATATATATATACTGTATATATATATATATATATATGAAGAGTTCAGATGCAAAAGCCTCTAAGTGCCATTTGAAATTTTGTTCTAAAATGATAATTTTTATCAAGCTTGTATATTTAAGTTCAGTAATTTCACTTAAATGGCAATGAAGATTACCTATTAATTGTCATTTAAGTGAAATTACTGAACTTAAATATACAAGCTTGATAAAAATGACCATTCTAGAAGAAAATTTAAAATGGCATTTAGAGGCTTTTGCATCTGAACTCTTCATATATATATATGTATGTATATATATATATATATATATATATATATATATATAAAACCATTAATTAACATTACATCCTTGATCTTTCTATTAGGTTCCCACAAATTAGATTTCTGGCATACAGTAGGCTATTTTATATAGTTTCTGCCCCTTGTGGTGGATCAGTAGCCTGATGTTTCTAGTCACATTCATCCTCAAATGTTGTGGGTGGGGCTAAGTTTGGCTGGCATCCAGGCTAGTGGATCAGATCAAGTGAAATTTAACTTAAAATCAATAAGAAATGTAACTGGATCAAATATTTATTTATTTCACAATTTACAGACAAAAATGAACATACAATAAACTTATAGCTAATAATGTTATCATTAAACCTGAAGGAGTGTATAGTATTGTTTAAAGTATTTTTCACTTGAGTTGTAATATAATTTAAAAAAAGAATATATATATATATATATATATTCTTTTTTTTAAATTATATTACAACTCAAGTGAAAAATACTTTATATATATATATATATATATATATATATATATATATATATATATATATATTTCAACAGTGTTTTCAAGCTTTTCATTAACCTCAAAAAATTAAGCACAAAATTATGTGACATCTGCTGTGACTGTATGTGACTGTTTACAATCAGTCTACAGCTGCTGAAGTACAAATGATGTGTCTGTGTGTCCTCTGTTTGTCATTCTACACATATTTTACATGCTATTTAATCCCCAGGTCTGTGTCCATCTTGTGATCATCTCTTCAGGGCCATCATATCATATTCCTCCATTATGCAACACATGCAATGCTATTACGATTCTATTCCATCTTCTCCAACTTTTTCTATGTTTATTTATCAACCTATTTCCAAGACATTAATGAAACGAGCGTAAACAGTATATAATTATAATTTAAATATAATTCCAATTTAAAAGAACTGTATTTTAATACATTTGAGAAAATTTTTTTTTGTGATGGTACAGCTGAATTTTCAGTATCATTACTTGTCTTCAGTGTCACACGATGCTTCAGAAATAATTCTAATATGTTGTTTTGGTCAGTGCTCAATAATTATTTCTTATTATTATCAATGTTGAACACAGTTTCTATAAAAATATTGAGTAGCAAACACTATGATACATTACCATTCAAAAGCCAAAATACCATTACTGTATCATTCTATCTTGGAGTACTTTAAGCGTGTGTTTAAAATGTGATTCAAACTAGTTTGAATCTGCTATCAAATGACATAGCTATTATTTTTGCAACACAAACAGAAAACGTATGGTTTAGTTTCAAACACGAGGAGTGAATGGGTCTGGTGTTATGGTTATTGTAATGTTTCATTGTTGTTACAACTAACCCGAGTCTTGTTGTTACAAATAACCAAGAGTCATGTAGCCATGACTAGCTCACCTGACAGCTAAAACATTAGCACTTACAACTTGCATGAAAAATATCTACACAGACACACAATAAACCTTATTTAAATTTGATGAGTTTAACTACAAAGCAGAAATTCCCATAACAAAACTAAAGTAGAAAAACTTCAAAAATTAGTTTTTCCACTAACATCTGCTGTTTTTGCCACAAGGCAAAAAACTTTGTGTGAAGTGAATCAGGTGGTTTGTAACTAGTTCCTGATTGGACAAATTGGAATTGTGACAACTGACCCAGGTTACAACCATCCCCGGTCTCCCCTAAGTAAGATTTAAATTAAATTACTAAATAAAAAATAAATAATATTATTATTATTATTATTATTATTATTTTTTTTTTGCAAAAGGATCATGTGACTCTGAAGACTGGAGTAATGATGCTGAAAATTCAGCAGTGCCATCACAGGAATAAATTACATTTTATAAAATATTTATTCAAATGGGAAACAGTTATTTTAAATATTTATAACATTTAACAATATTTACGTTTTTACGTTTTTCTTAATCAAAGAAATGCAGCCTCATTGAACATATAGCCTACTTATAAAGAAATAAAAAAAAATCTTAATTATTTACAACCTTTGACTTTGATATTTAGAGCCAGTGGACAAAGGTCATGAGTAACTGACTGTCTCTCTGTCGTCACTGACTGAATCCATGTGTTTTATGCAATGAAATACATCTCAAAACACATTCCGATATAAACATTCATAAATGACACATCTAGTCTAGATGGTTTTGTAATCTGTAATTAAATCATCATAAAGACATACAGTCAGGGATGTAGCCTACGCAAAAACACCCCAACACACAAAGGAATGTGAGCACTTAGTCTCTTTTTATAAACGCTTGTTGTCAGAGCTCACTTCACATTATCAAGTTCCCATTCCAAAGGTGCCACCAATCCTCCCGAGATTACTGAATGTTCAGCGGCTATTAATACATCAGCCAATCAGAAAACAAACCATTACTGCTCCAAGCAATCGACTGCTTGCTTGTAATGAGGTGGCCTATCGCATACAGTGCGACTCATAATGACCCAGGCTAAAATAAGATTATTGTATTAAATGTTATCTGTCCCTCCGCGTGGCTGTTTTTTTTAATATATACAAGCTATCGGGTTTCAGTGTAGCGTGTGAAAAGGCCATTTAGCGGGACTATATCTATCTGTGTTTGGTAAAAGTATACTGTAGCACCTGTTTGTGTGTGTGTGTGATTGAGGATTGTCTCCGCTTACTTTAATTCTCTTTACTAGTGAATCTGGGAATGTAGCTGATTCTTTATTAAATTCATATATGGGTGACTAAAATAATGGATATTGGATGACAGATTCCTCTATATATTGCAAACAGGAAGGTGTTGTGAAAAGTTTTGCAACTAGGCCAGTTCACTTCTGACAGGATGAAAGAATAGGAAGATTGCGGAAATTGGAAATCAAATCACAGTTTTAAAATTCCCTGATATTGCATGACAAACATTGTGGCAAACATTTCTGTGAATTTCTGGCAACACATTTTTCCCCTTTTAAGGCTCTAAGGTAGCCTATACTGTATTGCATTCTAATCCGTTATGATTTTAAGCATTTTTATTATGCAAAGTACAAAATCAGTATCTTTATAGAGCTTCTCCGAACAATAAAACAATGGAACCACGTTGAAAATTGACCTCTGAGCCATTTCAGTTTCTCAGCAGCGTTTCTGTCCCAGTTTTTCACTTGACTCATGTGCTCACCTGCTCTTGTTCAATCAAACATTGTTTGGCTCATTGTGTTCTAGCCTGGAACAAATGAATCAGGGTTACGTAAGTAATATCTGAGGTGTTGTTTGTCAGTCAATCAGGGAAAATCTGGTTTAACAGTCTCTTCATTTAAAAGTTCTGTTAGTGGTGTTGATGCGTCACTCTTTGAGTCCGTACACAACAGCCCCTCCTCCAGATGATAACGCTGACCACTAGCACACCGGCCAATAGGAAGAAGCATGCTGATCTCTTTAAAACGCATCGGTTTTAGAAGCTAGAGACACCAGACAGCTGGATAACAAGAGAGAATGAGAAGGGGAACCAATGATCTGTAGGTTGGAAAGCATTGTCAAGAAGACGTGAAGAGAACAAGTTAAACTTCTATTTGTTTTAAACCTGTTGTTTCATCATGAGCTCTAATCTTGTGAAGTCTCTTGCTCGGGTTTATGATCCCAAACCACTTCATGCTCAGAAACGGTGCGGAAGAGCCACAACGAGAAGAGCTTTGCTTTCTACCTCAAACAAACGTCTATCTTCACCATTTTCTGATCAGCCTTCATCAAAATCCTCCTCATCTTCTGCTCTTGTACATATTGAAGGACAAGTCAATGATCTGAGTGGTAAGATAGACAAACTCCTCGCCTTGCAGGAAGCGTCTTTGAGACGACTGGATGTCATCGGTCAAGATAGAGGAACGGCTACCAGTGGACGGAGCATTGAGCTGTTGTTGTGTGACATGCGTGCTGTCATTGAAAGTGTTCGAGAGAACGAGGAACAACAAGATCAGCGACTTGATGCTTTGGAGCGACTGGTTAGCAGCATTCAACAGGTTGTGAGTTTCATTGCTGAAGTGTTGAAACACTCGAGATTGGCTGATCTCTTGAAAAACACAAACTCAAAATCCAGCAGCAGGGTGAGTTTAAATGTTTTACGCACCAATTTAGTGTTTAAAATGTTTAAAAGCACTCATTTAGGTTCGTATTCCTGAGGAAAACACTCACAAACTACTGTGAAAAAATTAATATTTTATACTTAACCTTAAAATTATTTGGCATTACCCTGTAAAAAAATACTTTCAAGATTTGTTATCACAACATTTTTTCTTTTAAATCAATTAACATTAAATCAATCTCATTCATTGTAACTTAAATCAACTTAAAATTTTAAGGCAACCAGGTTACTTACTTTTTTAAGTTAAACCAACAATATTTTTTTACAGAGTTGAACTACATTAAAAAGTAAAACTGAATCAGCCAAACTATCAAAAACAAACATATATCTTTTAATATACAAACACGCATAAAGTCTATGAAGGAGCTGACCAAAAAACAGAAAAGTCTTACAGAAAAGTGGACTTTTGTACTCTAAAAATTATATGATGAAACGTTATGACAACATATGTTTTTACATTGCTTTAACTCATCAAAATAAGTTTTCAAACATTTTTTAAGTTGTACAAAATTCCATTTTTTAAGTCTTAATGTAATTTAAGTTGAAATGACTTAAGCATTCAAGGTGATTGTACTTAACAATTATTTGTCTTTTTTTCTCCGTATATTTGACTTGAGTATTTTACACATTTGCTTTTCATGTTGTGTGAAGTTTGTCATCTTGTGACGTAAATGTTTGATGCAAATACATTAAATGTTCTGTATTTATTTTCCAAATGAGTTTGGTTTAGGTGCATTTCCAAAAGGGGATTTTCTAGAGCACGAGTTGCCAGTCTCATTGTCATTGGTTTGAGCCATTTATAAAGCAGATTGACTGATGACATGACTGATTCGCAGTACCAGCTCAAGGACACTCACAGCAGATGATTGTGTGTGATCAGAAATATCTGGTTAATTGCACGTTAGCAACTCAGTGTAATGAAAGTACTTGTCACTGAAAAGCTTGAAAGCAGGTGCTTTTATTTAAAGGTGTGTTAATAAATAAAAAATTTGTGACCATAGACTTAAACTTGTGTAAACTTCTTTCACTCTCTAGTTTAGAGAAAAGGATGGGAAGGAGAAATCTAAAGTATATCCAAAGGGGTTAAAAACCCAGAAGAGAAAGAAACCACTGGAAGCATCAGGTGAGAAAAAACACATACACACTTTTGTGGGGTTCAAAAGCTAGAATTGACAATATAGGATTCAAAATCTAATTTTAACCTGGAAATAAGCTAAGTATTAGCATTTTGTCAGATTTAAAACTAATTCCATCCCTCCTTCTAGACTTAGTTCAGGCTGGTTTTGAAGAAGTGCAAAAGCTCAATCAACAGAACAATCAGCTTTCTCAATGCACAACAGAGACAGCAGCTGGCACAGTTGCACTCCCGGAGCAAAAAGGAGACTGCTATACGGATAGGAAGGATGAGGCTGCAGTGGAAGACGGGGCAATAGAGCAAGAAATCGTTGCTGAATTATTGCAGATAAAAGAAGAGGATAAAAAGGAGGAAGAGGAGAGGTCAAAGAAAGAGGAGGCATTGTGGTTATCAGAGGAGAGGCAACTAGCTGCTCCAAGTTCATCTGGGCAAACTGATGAAAGCACACCAGACAGGTACATCCTCTATATTTTGTTCAGTAAATGACTTTCAAAACCCTGCAAAATTGAATCTAAATATTACAAAAAATAATGTGCTTAGAATAAATGAAATTACATTGATTCAGTGTAAATAAATACACCTATTCAAAAGCCTGGGGTTAAGATTTGTTTCGTGTTTTTTTGAGAAAAAATCTCTTAAAAGCAAGGCTGAAATTTTATTTGATCAAAATACAGTAAACATTATGAAATGCTATTAAATTAGCAAACAATTACTTTAAATAATGTTGTAAAAATTGATTAATGTGACAGCAACTCATACGTTTTAGCAGCCATTTCTCAGTCTTCAATGTGACATGATCCTTCAGAAATCATTCTAATACATATATGCTCTCAAAAAAACTTTTGAAGGACAGTGTCAGTAAAAAATAAAACAGATATTACAAAATAAACATATTCCATTTAAAATTTTTAAACTTCAATACAATTATTTCTGTAAAGAAATATATTTTGAAGTATTATGATATACTACAATAAGATGTATTTTATATTTGATACCACTCTTTTAATTTATGTTACACTCGTGTAGCTGTGAGGAGAATCTGGAAATAACTGTCAGTACTAAGAGGCATGTTGCGGACGAGACTCTGACAGATGACCTTAAAAAAAGCAGAGTGGAGGAGGCGTCAGAGGAAGAGGATAAGGAAATAAAGGAGGAAGAAGAGGCAGGACTTAAAGCTGCAGAGGCTGGACCAGAGAGACTGGAGGTGGGGACAGAAGAAGAGAGGACAGATGCAGAGTCAAAAATTGAGGAATATGTCATTGGTAAGAAAACTGGTGTAGGTCTGAGAATAATGTAGATATATTACCCTTTTCTAGTTACATATTCTAGTCTTTCCCACAGATTCTTCCCCTCCCCCACCTGCACCATTTGAGCACCGTCTTGTGACAACCAAAACCCACCAAATTACCAGCTACTACACTATCAATAAAGAGGAAGTTCTTGGGGGGTGAGTTACAGAAGATATTAATCTTACATCATATTACGATAGGCTGGTTAGCATCAGAGGAATTTTTAAAGCAGGATGCCTGTGATATTAAACACATGGCATAAGATTCCTAAGCATTTCAAAAGCTTACAGGACACATGATACACACGGGGAGGAAAATGACAGATGTGTGTGTGTGTGTGTGTTGGCAGGAAAAACTTTAAGAGAGAGAGACATTTGTAAAGCCTGTCCAACAGTTTCCGATGTGGGGTGAAGGTTTCTGTCTTTTCAGCGTGACAAAGTTTAGTTCCAATTAAACTTTTATCTGACATTTTATCACAACCTCGATTTTAGGTTTGAATGCCGATTGGTATTTTTTGGTCATGTGTATTATAGTTACGCTGCACAATTGATTTTTCTATTTAACTCTACTTTATATTTTAGCCTACTTATCTATGTCGCTTTGAGGTCTTCATGCCGGCCGTTTAACGAAAGAAGACGTGAAAGTTTATGACATTCAGCATTACAGGCTGATCAAATCGTACTGAGCCTCTTGAAAGACAGAAACCTCAGCCCAAGACAGAAACCTCTTTCACATGGAAACATGTGCTAACAATGGGAATTTACAACAATCATGGTTCTCAGAGTTTACACCTTTTTAGGACAGAGTGGCATTTGCATATCTGTAAACTCTTAAAACCTTTATTAGCTTTTTGGTTTACTTCTGTTGGGATGAGACCTTTGTACCAGTCACACTGAGACATTTCAAATGATACCAAACATGAATAGTGTTGATAATTGTTCACATTAAACCATATAGATTTGTGGGTGAATTTTTGGTTATCCCAGCATGAGGAGAGAAGAGATGGGTGATGAGTAGATTGTAAGGGTGAGGCATGAGGCAGTGTTGTATATCTCGGATGGCGTTGTTACTTATGCAAGAGAGTGTTTAAATGTTAATTCTCAGGAGAGTCCTCTGTTTCCTCGAGGAGTAGTTTCTCAGTCCAGACTTTCTGTCATCCGCCTAACAGTTTTTTCCGGTCTTACAATGTATGTGCAACATATTTTTAGACCTTGGTAAAAGTGAATAGCTAGCGAAAGGAGATTTGGGGAATTTCCTCTGTGGCCTTACAAAGAATGTGGGAATTTAGACTTTAAATGGGGTGTGTTTGTGCATTAAAGGGTTAGTTCACCCAAAAATGAAAATTCTGTGAGTATTTACTCACCCTCATGTTGTTCCAAATCTCTATGGGTTTATTTGTTCTGCTATATACAAAGGAAGATATTTGGAAGAATGTTTTAATCGAACAGATCTCATTCCCCATTGACTACCATAGTAGGAAAAAAATACATACTATGGTAGTCAATGGGGATTGAGATCTGTTTGATTAAAACTTTCTTCCAAATATCTTCCTTTGTGTTCAGCAGAACAAATAAACACATTGAGGTTTGGAACAACATGAGGGTGAGTAAATACTGACAGAATTTTCATTTTTGGGTGAACTAACCGTTTCAATTGTGTACAGTTGGTTTTTAATTTTAAAATTGTATTGTCTCATTTTGATTGTAATAGAGGACGCTTTGGGATGGTTCACAAATGTGAAGAAAAATCTTCTGGCCTCATATTAGCTGCCAAGATCATCAAAGCCAGGAGTCAGAAAGAGAAGGTAAATGCCCGTGTCCATTTTAAGATATCCGTACTGTGAATTTAAGTTGGAGGTTCTAATTTTTCAGTTAAGTTTTCGTTTTAATCAGCCAATCACCTTATGGACCACTTGGTGATATAATGACACTGTGTGCGGGTGGAGTCAGTCATTTACTTTTATAGTATTTGATTTGTGTTTATATATATATATAACAGCAGAACAGGCAGCAACACACACTATTTACAACAAAGATCTGACAAAGACTGAATGAACAAACAGAACTTAAATGCAAACACACGCAGATGACAATGTTTAACGAAACACAGGTGACACAACTAAAAATGACAGTGAAGATGACACGTGACGTGATGACAGGCAGACAAGTCCAAGTGAAAACAAACTAAACCAAACACCACTATGACAGCAAGATTTCTAATTTCATGTTTCCCAAATTTTAAACTAATATTTATTTTTTATGTTATTTCAGCATTATTTCAATTAAACAAAAACATATTTTTAATAGTTTTTTACATGTTTGTGTTATCAGGAGGTAGTAAAGTGTGAGATTGAAGTGATGAACCAGTTGAATCACGCCAATCTGATCCAGCTCTACGCCGCCTTTGAATCTCGACATGAAATCATTCTAGTGATGGAGTAGTAAGTTACATCCACAAACACGCATACATCTCTGTCTCACATACAGACAGCCTCTCTCACTAACTAAATCTCATTCATGCTTTCTTTCTCCTAGCATATTAGAATTGAATGTGAATCTTTGAATGCACTTGAATCACAGAATGTGCTGCTAACATGTATTGTGTACCTTGTGTACCGCCTAGTGTTGATGGGGGAGAGCTGTTCGACCGGATCATAGATGAGAACTATAAGCTGACCGAGTTGGACACAGTGCTGTTCATCAGGCAAATCAGTGAAGGGCTTCAGTATATGCACAAGATGTACATATTACACCTTGACCTAAAGGTACCAAACACATTATTTTATGTAATAATTATTTAAAAAGAATTATTAGTGCTTATGCAGCTATAAAATATAATAGCTGAACAAGAACAAGTCTGAATATATTTTGCTGTTTCATAGCCTGAAAACATTCTCTGTGTCAGTCGAGAAACAAACAAGGTCAAGATAATCGATTTTGGGCTTGCAAGGAGGTAAGTGTTTGTATCTGTGTTTCTTTGTTTGTATCTTCATGAATCTATACCGATTTGTTCTTCACCTTCCTTGCAGATATAAACCCAGGGAAAAGTTGAGGGTGAACTTTGGTACTCCTGAGTTCCTGGCTCCTGAAGTCATCAACTATGAATTTGTCTCATTCCCAACTGATATGTGGAGTTTAGGTGTCATCACTTACATGCTGTGAGTCTGTACCATAGACATCAATGAACAATCGTAATTATACAAAAGGAGGAAGTTTTGTGAAAACGTACTTATGTTTGTGTTTCTAGGCTCAGTGGCTTGTCTCCGTTCTTGGGTGAGGATGATAATGAGACGCTAAATAATATACTGGCATGTCAGTGGAGTTTTGAAGAGGCAGAGTTTTCCGACATCTCCGAGGAGGCCAAAGACTTTATCACACGTCTGCTTGTGAAGAGCAAAAGGTTTGTGTCTCCCCAGGAATTGGCTTAATCTGACAAAAATCTGACTTTTTTTACTAGTTACCAGAATGTTTGTGTTTTGATGCATATTTCTTTTATGCAGTTGGAGAATGAGTGCATCCCAGTCCCTGAAACACCCATGGCTTTCAGACAGAGCGCTTCACTTCCGTCTTCACCATAAGGTTAATAATAACAGCCTTGAGTTTTTCGTAGTAGTTTTAACGAATTAATGCAAATTAATATAATTAATGAATGCGTTTATCTCACAGAAAAACAAGTGTCACTCTTCACACGCCCCTCCTCCAGAGGGCTAAACAGGTAAGAGATGCACACAAACCACGTAATAAAAAAAATCACTCCATCTGTTTAATAAATGCATTATATAGATCTAATTAAGAACAGTTCATCCTTGCACCCTTTTAATAAAAAATAAAAAATGATTTGACCATGTAATTTTTAATCAAAATCTTCTGGTAAAAACGTAAAACTGCAAATGATGTATGCAGGAATTCTACAATCATTTAGTCTGCTTAAAGTCGGCATGAAATCAAATTTGACAAATCTTCTTTTTATATGTAATATTGTAGTGTTTATTATAAATGATTTGTCTGTGCACTTCATTATTTTATCTTTCGGTCACTTACAATGGCGAAAGGGTGCGGCCAGAACCGATGAATGTGCGGCTATCAGTGCACCGCCTGTCAGAATGAATGTAAACCATGATGTAAACTAGCATTCAAATCTGCCTCCATTTTGTTTGCAACGCCCAACCTCCAACGATCCAATCAATTCCCGAAGGATGAAATCAAGCCAATCCTACATTTTTTTTTCAGTTTTCAGAAGCCGTTTCACTCGAATATACATCACAAATAGGACAAAATTACAATCTCAACTTCCGTTTTCATGCCGACTTTAAACTCACCTTGCAAACCCACATTTATCTGCATCAACTTTTTAGCAAAACACATCTTAAAATCCTATCAACAACCGATGGATGTAACCAAGGCCTACATTTTATTCCGATAATCCATTACACATTGATGCTTCACAACTTCGTTGCGACTTGAACAATTAGCCGATAACAATACATGACAAAACTCAGTTGATTGCACTTTGTATGTCAGTGATTGTTTCATATGATTAACTTCACTTGGGGATAACATTAATTTTCATGTTTTCTGCAGAAGTGATCATTGGCTCTCCTTGTGCCGTGGTGACAAACTGGACCAATACTGTTGTACCTGAACAACTACACAACATCTGTTTAATATCACAGTCACATACTGTACTGGACATGTATGTTACTTGCTTACCTCAACCTCAAACTAAAACAGCATTCAACACATTAAAAATACTGCACTCCTCTTGTGTTACAAAAATATTTCATAATTTGTAAAAAAAAAAAAAAAAATTGACAAAGTGGCCCTGTGCTCCAGTTTCGGTTTAAGTGGGTTTTAACTGTCTTTTAGCTGTTGTCTTATTAAAAAAATACTACAGATAGTTAATACTACAGTTATTTGGTCTCACATGTGCACTTTATAATAGGACGGGACTGGAAGAAGGATGTTTATGGCTAAAAGTGCAAAAGAGACATTTTCAGCCATACTCTATATCCACAAATGTATTGAGTCTTATCATGGTAATATCCTGTATGTCACAGGTTTATGGTAACAATTCAATCACATGATATTTGTGAGGGCATTGGAGTTTTGTTTTGAATGAAATTCGCACAGGAACTACCGTACTGTATTTTAACACTTGAAAGTCTAGATACCTTAATGTAATCCTACAAATGAAACATTATATATTTTTTGCCTTTCAGGAGTTCTAAGTGACAGAGTTTTTTTTTTTTTTTTGTGTACCTACTGTTATCTGATGCAAATAGCCATGCCCCAAATGCGCCTCTCACTTACCACGTTATTCTATAATATCATTTAGAGGGCTTCCTCTAGGGAAAATGTATTGTATAAAACATATTGTTCAGAATGCCAAGAGCAAATGCTTTGGTAATGCCTTAAGCTGCTGATCTCAGACTTTATTGTGGGGGGCTTTGTGACTTTCTTTTTAAGCTTGAAATTTGAAACTGGGACACTGGATCCAAGACCGGCTCACTCCCTCTCTTTGTCGTAAAACATCTCACCTTCCATGAAGGCAAATTAAAAAAAAACAGAACACTACCTACCGATGTTTTGAAACTCAAATTTTTAATCATAAATAAGAAAAGATTAATTTATATGTTTGATTTCGCTTTCTGTATTATGTGAGGACTGGATTAAAGAGGGCTGAAATATAATAGCCCATAAAACTAGCAGGAAAAATTTTTAACATTTCTGTACTATATTAATAATATTTAGTACATTAGTTATTGTATATTGTTGTAAGTGCCTTATGTGGTGTATGTGCCTTAGAACTAAAAATGATCTAAAATAAACTAAGTATATATATTAAAAAAATCTCATTCCTATTCTCTTCTTTTATATGTAACATTTATGGGGGCAGTCGTGCATCCGTGTGTGTGTGTGTGTGTGTGTGTGTGTTCACTACTCACTGTGCCTGATGTGTTTGTTCACTTCACATTGTGCTCTATCCAAAATTATATGAATTAATATCCAACATTTAAAAACCCAGATCTACGGCTATGATGCAGTCAATACCAATATGAATCTAAAATCCCTTTAGTGTTTAAAACCAGACCAGTTTGACCAGACTGGAAGACCAGCAAAGCTGCTTAGGCTATTTTTTTCAGCAGTGATTTAGGCCTAAGAAAAATCTAATAATTATTATTATTTATTAATATTGTTTATAATAACATTAATATGTTAACATATAATATTTATTATCGTGTTGTTATTATAATAATAATAATTATAATGAAGAGATGAAGTAAAAAGTTGTTTGTTTAATTCCTCCTGAACATCGAATCCTTTAGAGGACGCTGTGATACTTGTACGCCCTGAGCAAACAGGATTCGTCTCCACTTTATTCTGTGGTGCGTACGTCACCTGCGCTCTGGTCTGTGATTGGCCGCAGACTGCAGGTTCCTGATGTGTTTCTCAAGGAGTGCTGGAGTTTCGGATGTGTTTACAGGTTTGTACGTTATTACCGATCGCGTAAAGTGGAACCAAACCCCATAGACTCAGTCCGAACCGAAACCAGCTCCAGACAATGGCTCAGTGTCCAGCAGCAGCGTCGGTCAGTGGTGATGTGAACGGAGGCAGCAAGACGAAGAGGAAAGTGGCCATCATTACAGGCATAACCGGTCAGGTAATGTGAATGATTGTCTCTGCATTTGATGCGATGCGACGGTATACGGATGGTAATGATGAATATCTGTCATATTTACTCAATCTTATGCCTTATTATACCTTATTCCAAACGCTTATGACGTTAATTGTTCGGTGGAAAACAAAGTGAGATATCATGTCAGGCTGAATGACATCCTCAGTCATCATTCAGTTTCATCAGAGGAAAAAGAGAGAGAGAGAGAGATGAGAATAGTAACAGGTGCTGTCAGTCTTTAACATCCTTCCATTAGGTTGAGTAAACGGTGACAGACTTATATTAAACACATTTAAACATACTGACTGCAAGGCTAGATCTCCTTACGTCCTTTTCGCTAACATACCACAATTGCTATAAATATAATTATTTTTGTAAAACTTTTAATATTTTAAAATGGACTCTCCCGTTAGGCTGTAGCTTCCTGGATCTTTCTGTGGTTTGTATTATTTTAATATAGTTTCATGAACACACGTGGTCATTTCCTGACTCTCTGAATGAAGGGAAAAACTGACAATACTGCCAGCCTCTTGCACAACATTCTTATAACGTTAGTAAAAGATGATTAATATTTGTTGTTTTGTGTAATTACTATAGTAATTACATGTGAAGATGACCATCACTTTGACTAAAATCTATAACTTTACATGTGTAAGAGGTCTGCCCTTCTCACTGTTAGCAATGTACTTGCCACTCCCAAACATTAGAAAAATAGTGTACAATGTACTCTCCCAGTTGTTGTTTCTTTTTGTATTCATGTATTATTACAGTAGGTGGGGATTTTTTGTTGTATATAATTAGTGCGAGTTGTGTGTTCGCAATGAAAATTCCAAAAAGAAAGAAGTGCACTTTAAAAAACAACAACTTTGGAACGTTTGAAAATAACCTTATAAAATTCACAAACTAGTTAGTTGAGTGCATACATAGTGTATAGTGCGTAATTGGGCACAGCTAGGTTGTATCGCCCAAAGATAATGCATGTCTGTATAAAATGTGCCCTGTTCTGTCTGTAATGATGGTGACGTTTCATTCCACTTGTATGTGGCTGGAATGAAAATGTTTGTTTTGACAATTTGCATACAGTAAGCAACATTTGCAGCTGTCGTGTACAAAAAGGTGAGGCCCATCACTTCCGGCTGTTGCTTATCTATCCCCACCCATGCGCTTTTCATTATGAATTGCAATGAACTATGTAACAGAAGAACTCTGTAACACATATTTAATGTGTAAATGTTCACTCAAAATATAAGCTGATATAGTAAGCTGTTTTCCAGATTGCTGATTAAAAATGGTTGAAACTTTTCAGAATAGGAGGAAGACAAAAGGGCATAGCTATAATTTTGGTTGAATAAATAGTATATTTGTAAATATTTTTGATACTTAACAGTATATTTGCCAAACTAAAAAAATACAACATAAAAGTTTATGTGACTGTATAAACCATATGAATATTTAACGAGGCAAGTGCTGTTCGTTTTGATATTGGTATTGGTAGAGGCTACTCCCTTGATTACAAACACACTCTGTTCAAAGTAAAATGATGCTCCGGTCAGGATACAGAAAGATGAGGAAATGTTAGCTTTTGTAAATATTAAATGAGTGTAAAATGCCTGTTTCAGATGACGTGTGCAGAGCCTCTCCCATGAGATCTTCATTAGAAGTCTCACCTTCATTTGCCAGTTGTTGTGATGGTGAGGAAGAGTTGGCATTGTCTGAGGAGCCTTTTTTAGCTGCTGGTATTGGTGGGCTACTTCACTGAAAAGTCATTTGATGTTTTGGTGTACAGAAGAATATTGCAGAAGAACTTGCTTAAGAGGAATTATCAGAGGTTTTGTTTTCAAGACAATGCTCCTTCTCAAATTGCAAAGACAACAAAAAAAGTGGCTTGAGAACAATTCTATCAGGCTCATGTTTTGGCCTGGCCAGTGTCCAGATTGAAACCTTATACTGAATATTTGGTCTCACATTAGGCAACAAATGAAATTTTTTTTTTCAATCTCTCATGAATTAACTATTTAAAGCCATTAACATTGAGTGGAACAACACTGACTCTTCTTCCTGTAAAAATCTGCAAATTTGGGAAGGCTATTCATGCTATACTTTATCAGCATTATTTGTGCTACTTGCTAATTTCCTCCCGATGAGGATATATATATATATATATATATATATATATGTATATATATTATATAACTATATAATATATATATAACTGAGGTCAGTAAACTCTATTTATTTATAAAATAAAAAAAATACATTAATTTAATTCACATTTTGAGGTGCTACCCAGAGAACACTGACGTGGTTTAATTGTGTAACACTGTGCCATTGGGTTAATTTTAATTGAGCTCTTTTGATTAACAGGAAAGACCAGCTTTTAACGTTCGTTTGGGTGCATGTGGTCAGGAGAATCTCGCATAACTTGAATGTTTGCTGTACGTGGTGTAGCAGGAAGTTCCTGGTTCCTCTCATCATAATAAAAGCGTCGACTTGGGCAGGGTGCAGCAAGCGAACAGTCAGAATGCAGTTTTCTTGATGAACAGCAGAGGGCGGTCGAATGACAAAAATCACTCAGATTGAAGCGCGTTTGCATGTTTTTTTGTGATACATTCTGTCCGATGCAGTTGAGAAAAATACTATTGATAGTGTTTACTTCTCTCACATGTCTTGCATCTGTTTTTGCATTACATGGTACATTGTAAATCTGGCCCAGTTTTATTGTTTTTTTTTTTTATACATTTAGTGACATTTAGCATAACCTGTTTGAAAATGTTTTTGCTTACACACACTAGAAAACGGACCAGTCCGCTAAAATGTTTATGGTTTGGTGTCAGCAGACAACCGTCACTGGACGCAGTTTTCATTACCGAAATGAATAGTGAAAACTTCAATTTAGTGCCTTTTTGATGTACGCACTTAATTATTTTAAAATTGATGCGCCCACTTGTGGTTCACAAGGGAACACGGAGCCATTTGTTTGGAATTGTGCTTTGATGCGGTAAAGAGAGAAAGACTGTTTTACTGCGGTCACGGGCAAATGTACGGGACCTTTTTTTCACACAAGCAAATCAACACGCAGTACGTGCACAATCACAGATGATACGTCACAGACATAGAGACTGGACTGGTTTGGTTGGGCAAGTTAAATGGGCTTATTTGATTAGCCTTCATTCTTTCCTTTGCCATTTTGGTTTTCTCAGCATAAATGCATCCACAGTTTGCCACGAACAATTAGCCTGTGTCTAATGCAGAGGTCTGAAGGGCTGTAGATTTATCTTTAAGTTGTGTTAATGTATAAGGGTGATTGCATCGGAAAGTTTTTCCAAATTAGCCAGCATTTCTGAGATGTTTCGCACACGTGTTTTGACTCAATACAAGATTAAGTGTTAAACAATGATTTAAGTTTATAATTCAGACATAAAGTGATTAACCTGAGTGAGATGGTGGGTTACAAGATAGGCCTGTGTGTGCGTATGCACAGACTGGTTGGAATGTCGTGTCCGTCTAGGTTTCCTGTCTATGAACGTAATCTGCGGGAAACAGGCAACGTTTCCCAACAGTCTCAGTGTGACGATAAGCTACTTTTTATCAGGGTTATGAGTCTGCGCTGCAGTTGGCACTGCTTGTGTCACACACACATTATGCACAGAGAGCCTCAGGTGGTCAGACATTGAACGTTATGTATGTATACGGCCATTGAACGGTGTGAAAAGGAAACGGAAATGCAACTTTAAGCACATCTTTTCCTCCGCGGACATATATACTTACATTACAGGCACACACATGGCTGTTAGAGCTTCTCATTTTTTCCCCAAAGGTCTTTGGGACTCTGCCTATATCACCCCAGCAGGAAGTAGGGGGCGGAATGCCATGGCCGGGGCGGAATGT